AACCCTATATCTGACTCTTTTAGTTTTAGGACTTACAAACAACCGTTATGTGAACAAAACTATAATACTCTCTTTAGCAACTTTGTTGCGAGAGTATAACAAAAAAAAACTGAAAATTCTCATTTTTTCTTGGACTCTGACTACCCACTGCTTTGACTGAAACAAATGGTAGTCCGATGGTGCAAGGTCAGGGCTATATGGTGGATGCATCAAATTTTCTCAGTCAAGCTCTCCCAGTTTTTACAGAGACAAAAATATGTGTGATCTAGCGTTGCCCTGATGGAAGACGAAGCCCTTTTTGTTGCTCAGTTCTGGTCGTTTTTTCTATTGCTTGCTCCAATCTCATCAGTGGTTCATAGTAAAATGTAAACTCAATCGTTCGACTGGGCTAGAGCAGCTCATACTGGATGACTCCTTTCCAATCCCACCAAACACTCACCATAACCTTTGCTTTGCGACCTTTGTTGAGCTTCAGCATGCTTGGATCATGTCGATCACATTATTGTCGTATTTAATCCACTTTTATTCTCCTGCTATCACTCGCTTCAGAAATTGTTCGATTTCATTTCGTTTCAGCAAAGAATCGCAGATAATTCGGTCCATTAAATTTTTCACATACAATTCTTGTGGTACTGGCGAGCTTCTTTTTGGAAGATGGATGTTAAGTTCTTTAGCGATATCATGGCTGCTTATGTGATGGTCGTGGTCAATTTTTTCCATAATTTCTTCGACTTTTTTAACGATAAGTCTATCATAGCGAGGTGCATCTTCATATCGAAATTTCCAGAAAGCGTGCAGGCCTGTCAGGAAAGATTTTTCTAACGGATATCTTCAGAAAATTCAGTATGGATTATTGTCTATGACATTAGTATAATTTCCGAAGGAACTGTTGAGATCGGACCATTTTTGAGTAACGGCGCCTTCAGAAGACACAATTATCACAATCAATTACTTATAATAAGTTAAACTTTACCAATATAATAATTTTACACCGATAACACTATTCTATGACCTCCCAACATCTTACATGCGTAGGTGTATCCTTATCTCGCTAAAACTCTGAGGGTGATAAGCGAAATCGGAACATTACCACACCTACTGAATGACCTTATTTCCAAAAGCCATTTCCATGTTTACCATTTGCATAATAATCAACAAAAATAACCGAAAAAGTTCAACACACGTGCCATTTTAATTTTAAAGGAAGTTATAAATCGAGTAATATAAAGCTGAGTCATAAATACGCCTTCATTTGCTACTATATAAAAGTGTTATGTTCATGATGTTTGACACTGTAGTCTGCACTCAAAATTAGAGAAATGAAACTCCTTTTGATTTTGGCTTTCGTAATCGGCACCGCTTCAGCGGCGGCCATTCTAGAGCAGCAGGTAGAGCAAACGAACGCAAACATCAATGGACACATTGTCAATGGCGCCGATGCCTGGGATGGACTCTTTCCGTATCAAGCTGGTTTGACTTTGGAAGAGAATGGCCAATGGTTTTGTTGCGGCGGTTTCTGATTGGCTCCAATTGCATTATAACTGCAGTTCATTGCGTTAATTAGTAAGTGCGATAAATTATATTTTTATTATATTAATATTTAGAAAACATTTCAAACAATTTTTTCCTTGCATTGTAGCGTTCAAGCCGCCACTGTCTATTTGGGTAGTACGTCGCGTGGTAATGGTCAATATTCCACTGTTGTTCATCAGAATGATGTCCATATCCATCCAGATTATAGTAGTTTAAATGATATCGCTTTGGTTTGGATCCATTCCGTCTCCTACTCTGGCAACATTCAACCCGTCAGACTGCCATCGTTCAATCAATACAGCAACTATGAAGGCCAGTGGGCAATACTCTCTGGTTGGGGTAACATATATGATAGATCCGGTCTTAACGGTGATCTGAAGTATGCCAGCCAACCAATTATTTCAAATGGCGAATGCTCATCTCATTACATCATAAACGATGGTCTCATTTGCACCAAACCTGTTTAGGGAAGAGCTGCTTGTAACGGAGATTCCGGTGGCCCATTGGCTGTGGATAATAATCAAGTGTTGGTAGGTGTGCATTTAACCGCGTTTCACATTTCTTGGGCTGGATTCGTGGTATCATACATACATATAAATAATAAAAATAAATTCGATTTGCTAAACATAAATTGTAATATTTTTAAAGCATTCTCTTGAGGTCTTGAACCACCTTGAGTTTTTTTTATTTATTTCCATTATTTTGGAAAACGGTCTTTGTGCTTTTTTTTTCGAAGCCCATTGTATTAATCGTCTTCGGTACTCTTATAGCCTGTATGGAATTCAGGACATACATATCTTACGTGTGAGGAAAAACCAGAAAATCGTGCTTTATTAACTTAAGCAATTACGTTTTTACAAATTTTCAAAATCTTATTCAACAGTTTGAAATATGATGGGTCAAAATCCTGACCTCATCCTAATAAATTTGAATATTAACGATTCCAAAGGAAACGGTATACGGCCGACTCTCAACCAATCTTAAAGCGCTAAATCGAAAACAACCACGCCTACTTCTCTTATATAAAAAATTTTAATTTAATATGATTCTTTCGCTTTTATTGGAATGAAAAGTTACAAGCTCTTAGCTATTTCATTACACGTTTCAAGTCTAATATGTAAAGAAAATATCTGCATGCTAAAAATTGCAAAAGAGCTCATGTCAAAAATAAATCGTAAAATCGGCTCAATACTTCCCCAAACCCCAATATAGTTACATAATGTAAAAATTTTGGAATTTCCGACTTTATGCTAAATCTGAATGTGACTTAACTAAGTCAAATATAGACGTCTAATATAAGTATTCTTAAATTTCCAATATATTTATGAAAGTTAAAGAATATATTTTTCTCGTTATAAAAGGTGACCCATTTCGAGTTTTCCAACTTTTTAATAAATAAAAACACAGAAAATTCAATGAGGAATATGAATTATCAAAAGAACAAATGTTGGTCGCGACTATGTCTCAGATATAGTCCAGATTTCGATGACTCGAATGACACGCGTGATGTTTTGCTTCAAAGCCAGAATCGGAACGGGATTGTCCGCATTGACTTTAGACTTTACCTAACCCCACAGGAAAAAGTCTCGATAACGGTGTGATTTCACATGATCTTGATAAATCGATCGGCCCAAAACGGTTAATTATTTGCTCACCGTAGTGTTCTCCCAAAAAATTTATTGATTCATGCGATGTGTGCGAAGTGACGCCATCTTGTTGAAAATCACCATTGATGGTTTTGTTCGCACCGGCATTATTTTAGAAGAAGTATGAAATGTAAACTCTTGAACCTGTTCAGGTGGTTCTTGGTCCCAAATGCGGCAGTTTTGCTTATTTAAGTACCCATTGAACCAGAAATGGATCTCAACGCAAAATAAAATTTGGCTCGAAAATGTCCGATCTTCTTTCAAGAATCCATAGAGCGAAGACATGTCACTTGGGAAGGTCGACCGGCTTCAATTCTTACACAATCAGTATTTTGTACGCTTTCAATTTAAGATCGCGACGTAAAATACGCTAAGCCGTTCCATACGTCATTCGTAATTGCTGCGAACGGATCCGACTCGTACAGGACTTATATATTTACGATATTCGTTCGTCTAGCAGCCTTTACACGAAATAACTCGATCAGTGTGTGAGTTATCTTCGTGAAAGTGTGTAGCAAAATCTTCTCGAGTATAATTGAATAATGTCAAAGGTGAATACAATCAGTCTAATTCCTTTTCCTAGCCTCAATATACCATATATAGTGATGTAGTGACTGCGCAGCTGATTACGAATTCTTTGTGTTAGTCAATATGTGTGATATTTTAGTGAAATTAAATAAACGAGTTTTATTACTGAAACTAAGAGGTTCTGATAACTCAAATATTAGTGAATATAAATCTGATTATAATTCATTAAAGGTTATTAAATGCTCGGTAACACCCGTCCCTAACACTTCCCTACTCATTTTATATCACTTAAAAATTACCAAAAAATGTATGCATAAAATCCGCTTGGAATGTTGACCGCGTACCTAGTGGTAAGTTCTGGGGTGCTAAATAACTTTTTTATTAATAGATTGATTAACTTGATTTGCTACGTGCACTTCAATAAAATATTAACGGGCTCTTGATATGCGAACGCTTTCACTTAAGCAGGTTAATCATTAAAATCAGATTTTAAGATTTATTGCAGCTTTTAAACGTTACATTTTGAAGAGGCAACGTCGCATTCAATTACCAACATACCTATAGTATATTCTGAATACAAATGTAAATAAATAAGAAAATGCTGGACTCAGATGCAATCACAGTTCGTAAGAGTTATAAACGTGTGAAAAAATTCGAGAGATCTGATCAAACCGTCAAATCTAATTCTAACAGCTAAAATGGTGGCCGAGTTAGAGAATTTAATGTTCTTTAAAATAAGAGCCTTTTGCAAATGACTTGTGAATAAATCAAAGAAACTAAAAAAAAATCTCATTCATTTCAAAGTGTCTGAAAAGCTGCAAGAAAAAAGAATATATTCATGTCATTACAGGGCAACGAAAGGCAATCGATTATAATATACAATAAACATAAAAAGATCAAAGCGTTGTTTGCTGTGCAGCTATACCTTCTACCTTTGATTTATAGTCAACGAGAGAACAGAGTTAATGTTCTAATCAAAATTCGCCTATCATGATTAGCGCGTAATCTTAACTGTTGCAAATGACTTTACCATTTCCGTTGCACTGACTTATAAAAGGCGCTAGTGGAACCATTGCAAACCATAGTAATTTGACCATACTGAACCAATCAACATGAAGCTTCTAGTTGTCTTAGCACTCCTTGTGGCTGCAGCCTCTGCAACTCCGGTCTACGAAAAGACCGCTTTCATCGAGGACTTACCCGAGTCTCCAGTTTTGGGTGGACGCATCACCAATGGTGATTACGCTTGGGATGGTTTGGTTCCCTATCAAGCTGGTTTACTGTTATCGAAGAATTCAGGCAATTACTGGTGTGGTGGTTCCTTAATTGGCTCAAATTGGATTCTCACTGCCGCTCACTGCACAGATGGGTAAGTTACAGTTTTTAATCAACTAAAAGAAATGAAAATTTTCAATTTAAAAATGTTCCCTTTCATCATTACAGCGCTCACASCATCACCGTCTACTTAGGTAGCGTTGTGCGATCTAATGGCAACCAATATGCAACCACCATCCACTCCCAGGATATCCACCAGCACCCCAATTACAACTCTAATACTCTGGATAACGATGTCACTCTCCTGTGGATCCACTCTGTCTCGTTCTCTGGCAACATTCAAGCCATCAGAYTGCCATCTTTCAACCAATACAGCAACTATGAGGGTCAATGGGCTACCGCATCGGGCTGGGGTGGCACTTCGGGCAACAACCAAGACCATTTGCAATACGTCAGTGTTCAGGTGATCTCCAACAGCGAATGCGCTAGTGTCTATGGCAGCAGCACTGTCACTGACAACACCATCTGTGTTTCCACAAACGGCGGACGTTCGACTTGCAGTGGTGACTCTGGTGGCCCATTGGCTGTGGACAACAACCAAGTGTTGATTGGTGTGACTTCATTCGTTGCTGCCGCCGGTTGCACCGCTGGTCTGCCATCTGGTTTCCAACGTGTCAGTCGCCATTTGGACTGGATCCGCGGTGTCACCGGTATTGCATACTATTAAAATCAGTGACATGTTATGAAGATACTAAATTCAAATTTCAAGCAAAAAACGATAAGATTACGTCTTTTCTTCATATCTTCAGGGTTTTCACAATCAGAATGCAGCCCTTCTCAACTATTTTGTTATCAGTATAAATTTTGGTAATTAAATGGCATATAACCTAATTATAGTATCGATAACATGAAGCTAACTGCTCAAATGATTAAGCTGTTTAAAGCAAAAAAAATTTCACAACTCAAGAGACCGATAACATTTTGTTTGAATACAAACAGTAAATCAAAATAGTCTATAAATGTTATTTACAACCTTAGAACTCACTACTGGTGCGCAAATTAATCCAGTAAGACGGATTTCATTCATAAATTTGCGAGTATTTTAGTGTTCCTTTTTTATACACTCGTAACATGTTACCATAGAGTGTAATAGTTTTGTTCACGTAAGTATTTTGTTTTTCATTTATGTTGTATGTTGCTTGTGCCCTTAAGGGATTCATGGAAATCGGTGAAAAAATGTATACCTTTCACCCACAACAGTCGTAAAGACGGGAATTCGCGCATAAAACTCGAGTGGAAGGAGTAGACTTTCTCGAAAACTGTAGAGCCAGTGTTCAATAATAATGTGGTTGTAAAAAACGTGGGAGCCGCTGAGAAGTCCCAGGCCACCACAGGTTTCACAACAACTAACGATTTAAAAAGGCCAATAGAAAAGATCAACACCAAAATCAGGTTAAGCAACATCAAAAGAAGCTGTCAATATTAAGCCAACCGCCAAATGCGCTTCAACTTCTTCGAATCTCTAAAGAGCTAATTAAAAGGGAGTGCATCATTAGCCGATCTCAAGCCAAACACTACAATGAAGGTTATAGATCTCGATCCCTAATGACAAAATAGTAGAAAGCGCTCTTGAATAACTAATGCCTGCCCAGTAAATAAACATCTCTCCACCCAATACCAAACAGAAGAGGGCAATAGACAATCACATCTGCAATGTTTGAAGCTAATTTTTGATGTTTGCCAAATATGAAATGAATATAAATATCTCTAACTTCCCAGTTGACTGAATGAGTCGCATTATATATATATTATATACATATAATTTATACTTCACGTTCTCTGGCTAATCATTCGGTAAAGGAAAAGTAATTAATGCGACTTCCGATTGCATACTTATAGGATGAATATTGAGCTATTTCCTCTAAAACTTATAACAGTGCGTTTGAAACTGTTCACGGTGATACTCCAAGCTAAATTGAAATATGGACTCTACTGCGTACAGAAACAGAATGTTTTATATGTTTTTTTTTTTATTTAGCAGAAGTTTTTCTAGACGTTCTCTTGTGAAAACGGAAGAAGATGAAAAATTAACAGGTTCCCTGTCCCCATACAAAAATTAATTTTTAAAGGTACACGTGCACCACTTATTTTTGAAATTATATTGCTGTAGGCGTTTTTAGAGGTTATCGATGAATTTTTGAACTATCCCACACATAACGGTAAAAAAAATTTTGTATCAGCTATTATACACGAACGTGTCACTACGAAGTTGAATTGCATACGCTCAATGTATCATCAGTGATACATTTAATAAACTTATTTTAAATCAACCAAAAATTTGTTCATATATGATACATGGACGCTGTACACATGGTACAAGAAAATAATTTTGTATCACATGTGATACATTGGACAGGGAACCTGTTAAAAATATTTGCAAAGATAAAACTCAATTTTGGTTGGATTGTGTGCTTTCATAGAGATATAGCTGGAACTTGGAGTGTGAACACTCTGAACGAAGTTCTTCAGGCCTCCATTCATCGAACCACAATGCACTCACTGGCTTGGATTCCGTGCCAAAGGCTTTTTAATGATCCGTGGTACGAGTTGAGTCGGTTTAGACACGTCTCTGTGTGTAAATTCAAATCAGTTTTTGCGATATCACACTGAAATTTTAAAAGAAAGTTCAAGATCGATTATTATATATAATTATTTGCGCGAAAATTTCCCTGGCTTAAGATATCTCATAAAATTAAATCAAAGAACATCGGAAGTTCCGAGATGACCCATGACAGTCGGGTCTCCAGTTAATTGAAAATGCTTTTGTTAATTTTAAGAGTCGTCTAAACTTTTGCCCATACACATACTGCAAGAGCTCGCTTCATACGCGAAGACAGAGCCGAACAGAAAAAACGAGCGAGAGAAAAACAGTTTGGTTGTTAGTACGTCAGGGGTTAAAACAGATACTTATGAAATTGTGCCGTATCACTTACATCTTTGACGCACATCAAAAGAAGTTTCTATTGCCTTAATAAATTTGTGGTAAGCACAAAACGATTCGTCGATCGATGAGAATTTAGTGACCAACTCGTAGGAGTTTATGGGTAACACAAAGGACGAATTTGAACCCAAGAGAGATTTATGGATTATGGATCAACCGCACAACCTAACCAAACCCTTTAGCCACAATGTAATAAATATACAATTAATCAAAAAATAAAATCATATTTGTTAAAATAAAAAATGAAATATTTAGTAGGAATTGTAAGCAATTTATATTTTCAGCAAAATTTTAAGAATCTCGTTTATTAGTAAGAGATGCCAGTTCTCTCTTTAATCCACTTAAGGTAGCTTGTCACACGAATGAAACCAGCTGGAGCGCCAGATTGGCAACCGGCGCTGGATACGAACGAAGTAACGCCGACAAGCACACCATCGGATTCCAAAACCAATGGACCACCAGAATCACCTTGGCAGGTGGACGTACCACTAGGGGTAGATACACAGATGGTGTTGGCCGTTACAAATTGTGTGCCATAAGTAGCAGAACAAACCGAATTAGCTATGATCGGGAGGCGAGCGTAATTCAATGATGAAGAAGTCGAAGACGCTGAAACAGAACAAAGGTTATACTAACCATTAAACCTGGATACATAGGTGCATATATTGACTTACTGTCGCTGGTGCGGCCCCAGCCTGAAGCAATAGCATAGCTGCCAGCATAGGTAGAGTACGATGAAGAGATCGAAGGCAATTTAATGGCGGATATATCGCTAGTGTAAGTCACAGCAGGGATCTTAATCAATGTAATGTCATTGGCAAGAGTTTTGGCGTTATAGCCGCTGTGTTGATAAATAGAGCTGGAGGTGACGGTGTACTTGACTTTAGATGCAGTACGTATAGTACTGCCTAAATAAACGACCACCTGAGTAACTCTATGGTAAATAATTTAAGAAAATAGCTTAAAGATTGAATAATTTGTGATAATATTTAACATCGCTTACTGGTCAGAGCAGTGAGCTGCTGTTAAAACCCAAGTGGAGCCGATGAGGGAACCACCGCACCAATAATTGCCTGTGCTGCGAGTTAGCAACAAACCGGCTTGATGAGGAAATTGTCCAGTCGCAGCAGTGTTGCCGTTGGTAATACGTCCGGATAGAACTGGTGATATTGGCAAATCCTCTATGAAAGCAGGCTTCTCAAAAGCATTGTCCACATCTTCATTGACAGACGACTGATCGGGAACGATGTAAGCCGAGGCAACAGCTAAGGATAAAACCAGTGCGATGAAGACCTTCATTTTAGTCGGGGATGCGTTGTATAAGCAACTGAGGTAAATAGTTGTGAACAAATCATTTTATAGGCAAAGATAAAGTTGATTGTTCGTTACCATAAATAATACCATTCTATGATGATATGATAAGCCTAACGCATATAAATCGATTAAAGAATATTGTAAATTTAAATGATAATGATATAATTGATGTCATTAAGTCTATATTTACAAACGTGTACGAGTGGTCGGATTTACCATTTATATAAAACGGGGTCTTATGGTTATGAACAGATTTTTATGATCAATAATGGGGTATCTTTCGCTTCTTTCGTAGTTTTTGCGTTATTGAATTACCGGAAAGTCCCATGAAAGAGCCCCTGGGTAAAACTATTATTTTTTGTGAAGTTGGATATGCTTTATGGAAAAATAAATTTTTGTATTTTTCTTCGTTTTCAAATTGATTAAATATGTATATGTACTTCTGAATTCTTTTTTTAGCAACGTTAGAAATTATAAAGAATATCCAATTGCTTGCGATCACCAAAATTCTGATAATAAAGCATTAAAATAGTGAATCCGTATTTTGAATAACACAATTTCCCACTGTTTTTTTTTTTTAAGTTTTAGAAATTCTTAGAAATTCAGATATTTTGCTTTTAGTCCCTACGTCCTATCATATTTTTTGACTTTTCAACTGAACTAATATTTTCGGGTTCGACTGTAAAAAACAGCAGTGTCGCCAGAGGACTTAAAACTTTACATTCTCTGACTGAACTTGACGTGATGCTACAATATTTTTGATAACCGTTCAGAGATTTTACTGTTAAATAAATTGAAGTAGCGGTATAAAATTACAAATATAAAACAAGATTTCAAATCGGCTAGTTACCATACTCTTATTTATTTTCAAAAATAGCCTGATCTAGCAAAGACTTTTAATAATTAGCTGAGCAATAAGAAGCAGTCTGGCAATCTTTACGCTTGTCTACAGTGCATTCTAAACTGTTGACTGTGTGTCAAAACAGTTTAACGAATTTGTTTCACATATCATTTCGAGTAGTAAACAGAAATATATCTATGAGTTTTTAACAAATTATGGAACGTATTCTTTCTGGTATAGCGAAAATAAATTTTCAACAAAATTGTGAAGATATTTTGGTTGAAAGTCGGTAAGCAAACAGAAATAAATCGCAGTAAGCTTGGTATAAATCGGGGATTTCATTTGCAGTTTGGGTAACATGAACGATCAATTGCAAGAGATGTCCAGAATCGTTGATACAAATGGCGAGTGTAAGAAGAATGATAATACCGCAGAGAGTGATATAGAATCAGATTTGAACAGTTCCGGCGAAACCAACTTATTTGGTGATGATGATGCAGATAGCAGCGGCAGCACCAGCAAAGCCGGTGGCAGTCTTTCACAGCGTCGCAATTTGCCGCGTCGTGCTTGTAAAGAAAATAGTTTAAAACTCAAACGTCGCTCGATTGTGAAACCAAAACGTCACAGCTCCTCAATGACATGTGATTTCTCTATGCTCCGTCCAGCTGATATACGTAAAATTTACTGCAATAAAAAACTGAAAAGCTTCCGACCCACTTGCTTGGAGACAATCTTTGAAGATCCACAACCTGAGCCACGTCGCGGTAATGATGCTGTTGCCTCCTGCAACAGTGCATTACGTTTAATTGGTTTGCGTAAAATACGACGTTCACTATCCTGTTCAGATGGTTTGAATACCAATAAAGCTTTAATAAAACAGAGACGTGCTAAAATAAAAAAAGCCTTTGGTCGACGTAGTGCTTGCAAAAGGATATCATTACATGATTTTATTGATCGTTTGAATAAAAGTTTCGGTGACGAAGCCGACGTTGAAGACGCCGATCTGGAGACTGACGACAATAATATACAGGATGTTTCAATGGAGGCAGAAATGTGCGCTGTAGCGGCAGACTCTTCGCTGTCCGCAGAAACGACGCCAATAAAGACTGATTTCGCAATGCAATTAGAAACGGATTTGGTTCATGCAAATAAATATAGCAATACAAAGGTGGAGAGAGAGTCATTATATCTTGTGTCAAATAACTGTGGAACTCTGTCATATTCTTCAGATACAGCAGATACTAGTTTGAGTACTGCATAAGTGAAGCATAATTATTTAGAAGTTAGATATTAGTTATTTTATACTACATTTTGCGAGTACCAAGTTCTATTGTGAGTGTTATTGAAATTCACTGCCAATTTTGGTTTTTGTTTGAACTACATGTTTCATATTCTTAATATTTTAATTGTGAAATTTTTATTCTGAAATCATAATGGAAATTCATTAATTTTCACCAACTTTCCTCATTTAAGTTTTTAAGTTATTGATTGTACGTATTATTTGTGTGTGTTTGCATAATAATATTGATGATGAATGTTTTAATTTGTGTCTTATTACATTATATCTATTCGTGCAAGAACATACGATTTTACAAACGTCAACTACTACTAGCATTAAGACAGTTAGTAACGTAATTTCTTCTAAGCTGTTTTATATAAACCGTTTCGATTTCATGAAGAATATTGTAAGTGTATTTTACAAAAATATCATAATTTAAATGAATTTATTGCAAATATAACTTTGTGTTAAACTCTTCATTGCAAATTTTCAACGTTTCCGCAATTTGTCGCATTTACCGAAGCTCAACAGATAAGAAAAGCTAACTACAAAAACAATTCCATAAAAATAAATAAATTTAATGCAATTTAATTTACGTTATGCCGACATTTTATGGTTTTCATATCACTTATGTAATCAACCGATAGGAAAACGGTAGCTTGGTGTGAATGGCACATTTTGTGGTACCAAAAGTGTGTTTTGATTTTAAATGATTTATACGTAATTCAAAATCTTTGCGATAACTTCGTTTACAAGCAAATATGTTTCTGGGTGTTAGTGTTAAAACAAGAAAAAATATGATTTTTATCGAACATTTAGTATGGCAGCTATATGCTATAAATACAATCTGAACAATTCATTTGAAGTTTATACAGTTGGCTTAACCCATTATACATTTCCGGGAGATATATTTAAAAAAAAAAAGTTAACTTGATTTTGATGGTTCAGTTTGTATGGGACCTACATGTTGAAGTGTACATTGAATCGTTGTTTTGGACAAAGCACCTAGTCAAATTTCGTGAAGATTTTTTGCCAGGCTAACCGATTTTTTCTTCTGAGTGCTAAAAACTTCTTGACAACCTTAATATGCCTTTTTCAGTGTATAAATGTAACGGATTCAAATAATATAAATATTATATATAAATCGAAAAAGAAAGGCGAAATAACCCGTTAGTCCAGCAGCCATAAGGCACGAAATCAATTCAGAGAAACGAGAGTGACCCTTGCTCAGCTTCCTTGTGGATACTGTAGCAAACTCCTACTTATCCAGAATAGACCCCGACATATCCAATAAACCAGTATGTCCTGCGTGCAATGAGTCTCTGCATGACACTGGCCACCTCCTTGCATGCCCCACAAACCCCTCTCTCTCTATGGTACGATCCCGTCGAAACCGTTCTTGGGCCTTCCGTTAGATGACGTCAATGGCAACCTGGCTAACCCTTACCATCCCAACGGGGAATAGGTACCAGTTATAACAACAACAACTACAAAACAATTCGTTTAGGAAATTTGCTTATTTGCTGCATATCTTTCTTGACACTTAACAAGGTATTAGGAACAACCGTTAATTAAAAAAAACTGTTATGCAATTTGTGCCACAAATTGTGGGAGTTAGGAAGTGAAAATTGCTAAAAAGTTTATTTTCACATACTTTTATGCGTAAGCGATTCCAAATTTTCGCCATTATATCGTTATTAATAAAAATTACCACCCATACATACATATGCATACATAAGTATATTATACACATAATCACATAGTTGGTAAAGTACTTTGGCATTGTTGAGAATTCAGGAAACTTGTTAAGGTTTGTACAAAACCATTGAATGAATGTGAATATACACTTGCGCCAAATTGCATTGCTTGGGATTTACCGTTGTGTCTTGACAAGCACTAAATTACTCCGCCTTTTTGCCACGAAATGACTTGAATATGGATTGGCATTCAAAAATTTAAACTTATTGATGCATATTACTATGATTTCCTGCATGCAAAACATTGGCCACATACATACATACATATATACAAACATGTACATATGTATGTGCAGGTATGTAAGTGTGTAGATACATGTAAGTAAGTTACTATATATGAATGTAAGGTAATTATGCATATAGGTTTGCATGTACTTAGCTAAGTATGTATGTATGTCTGTAGTACATTTGTAAACGATATGCAGATACCTTCAAAGACAACAGGAAGCCTAAAAGCAAATGTAGCGCATTGAGCATTAATGCAGATGTAAAGGTAGTTGTTGTTGTAAATACATGTGTACATGTGGTACAACAGCTGGCAGCCTATTACAAGGCAATAAATTGCATCGTTGTTGTAAATGATGAAAATATTGGGTAGTCGAAAAAGTCTTTTCGTATTTGTAATCAAATTGCAACAATTAATGAATTTTAAAGTTCATGCGCAGCAATTATTTCTTCAAATAAAATGTTTAATCAAATTTATATGTGTGCTTGGCGGCAAAAGCCTGCTCCCTGTTGCACTAGTAAACCATTACATTTTTGTCACGCCGCGCCATAATTACTTAATACAGACTTGTAGGAATTCCAACTGTGATGTTGGAAAAAGGCAATGAGGCAGCAAATTAAAACCAGCAACTTGTTTACTAATAAGTTATTTTGTACAAAATCATCAAGTAACAATCACACAAACATCACATTGTATTTATTTGTGGCAATACTGAGGCACCGCAGACCTAGTGACGCAATTTGCAACAACTCAACGAGCGGCCTAACACCATCATTCATTCATTCATCAAATAGGCAACGTACTCTCATTTGATACGTTTGTGGAAGTTTGTGGCAGAAATGAGTGTGGTGTGGCATGAAGTTTAGTAAGTGCAATGCGTGTGCTCGTAAGAGATTGTTTATGTTTAGGGCTGTTGCAGGCAAACCGTATCACATAATGATAACTTAATTTATGTACTAGTGAAAAGTAGTTTATAAAAATAACTGACACAGAGCAGACAGTGCTCAGTCGAAATGCGCGTGTGCAGTGTAACGGTTCGTAGTTGAAACATATAACGGACTCTAGTTGCGCGAATTGTATACAAATACAAACCATCCTAACTACACCCATACTTTCATGCAAATCTACGCGCATGCGCACATTTGCAAGTGCAAGTCAAGTGTGGCAAGTGGCAAATAAAGTTTACTAACGCCGTACAAAGCGAAGTTCAAATTCAATTACACTATTTCGGAGAGTTTTTTTTTTTTTTGTTATGAAATGCAGTGAAGTAAAGCGCTGCAATAACAAAAAAGTGGAATAATAGTCTCACAGGCAAAAATAAAGAAAGTCAAACGGTGGTGGCCTTTCGCCGCATAGCGCAAAAAAGTGCTGACAACAACAAACCGAGCATTTAAGTAAACAATAAAAGCGGAAATTATTAAATAAGTGATGACTTCACACGCCACAAACAACAAAGTGCCAATGCTTCAAATGCTGCTGCTAACGTGCCTAGTGGAGCGCTACACCGCCACCAGTTGGCGGCAAGTGAAACCAATGTATCTGCTATCCATGTACGAGCCGTCGGATGATTATTCTAGTGAGCCGACGGTTTTAAGTTTAGAAGCAGACGCAGACGCAGAAGACGACATGCGATTGCACCGCACGCCAGCGATGGATCGTATTTTTGGCGGCAGCGTCGCGCAGCGTCACAGCTTTCCGTATCAAGTCGGTTTGTTGTTGCAGCGGCCCAAGGGGCTGTACTGGTGTGGTGGAGCGTTGATTTCGGATGAATATGTCTTGACTGCGGCACATTGTGTCGATATGTATGTAGACAATAATATGTACATATATATTAGAGTAATTAGTGATACAGGATAACTTGCTATTCTATTTTTCATGTTGCCATCGAAGGGCCAAGCGTGCTTTAGTGTTTCTCGGTGCTCATGAGATTAAAAACGCCGACGAATTGGGCCAAGTGCGTATTATGGTTAAGCGTAATAGTTTCATCATATACCCGTCATGGAATCCGCGCCGTCTCAAAGATGACATCGCTTTGGTGCGCTTGCCAGTGCCGATCGAATTTAATGGTAAATAATTACGACCAGAAAATCCCTATTTAAGGAGTATATTTGCATATAATTTAACTGTATAGCGAAAAAATCAATTCGAAGCCAACAACAATAAATTCCTGATTCCCCTTGTGTATCCATAACCATCGCAAGTTATTCTGGACTAGTCTGTAGTGGGTCCAGCGCTTTGTGAAGCCAGATTAAACCAATGTTGTTGTTGTTGTCGTTTTAACGGTTATCTAGTCCCCGTTAGGGTGGCAATGGTCATTTGCGTTGTCGTCGAGGTCATCTAACGGGAGGCGCAAGAAACGTGCTATTTCGACGGGGTCGAATCAAACGTAGGAAGGTGTTAGATGAGTGGGGTTTGTAGGGCATGCAAAGAGGTGGCCAGTATCATGCGGGCGGATGAAACCAATCCACGGGTATGCTTGTTAGAGAGATCAAATCGGCAAAACGTTCTTGGATAGCACCGAACCCCTTGGAGAATTTTGGCTCCGGCGGGAATTGTACGTGAAGTCCCTACCTACCGTCTCTCTTATTTATTTCGTAAATCCCTTCAAGATTTTTAAATTACCCATGTACTAAATTTGTCTTAGATTAGGTGGCTGAAACTTCAGTAAGACGGCGGATCATACTGAGACTATTATGTACAGTCCTTTGTGAAGCCAGAAGAACATTTGTCTTGTTCTTTCATAAAACTAATGGCTTATGCGCAAGACGAGTCCAGTTATCCTTTTTTCCGGTCCTACAATCAGCACCGTAGAGAAAAAACCCCCCGGATTTAATTGTTGCAGAAAGGAAATCTGCAAAACATTCTTGCAGAGTACCAGGCAGGTATTTTTCCCTCCCTTCCTTCCCTTTTTCATTGCATAAAACCCTCATAGTACGTAAATTATCCATATTAGGCGCAACAAGGGACCTACAACGCTATGATGCAACGATCTTTTATTCACCTTAGAACGATGTGATCACAAGGTTGGTTATATCCATGGCTCCTAAAAGCGCAGCTACCGTTCAGTAACATATGTTATTCACTCATCCATCTCGTCCTTTTACTTCTTCCATTATACATATTCAATTGAAAGAAGATGCAATTCTCCAAGAATTCTGCCTGCTAATGTGCTCTATATTTTTTACAGACCGCATACAGCCGATTCCATTGCCACGTCGCAGTTATGAGTACCAAGACTTTGAAAATAAGTTAGCCATCGCTTCCGGCTGGGGACGCTACGCGATGGGCGCGCATGCTATTAGCAACGTGCTACGTTATGTGAGGCTACGCATAATTGACGGTTGGACCTGCAAACGCAGTTTCCCGCTCTCATATCACAGTACGAATATCTGTACAAGCGGCAAGTATGCACGTTCCACATGCAACGGCGACTCTGGCGGTCCACTGGTTGTGCAGCGCAAACATACGAAGAAACGTATACTCGTCGGTCTCACTTCATTCGGAAGTATACATGGTTGCAATCTCGGCTATCCGGCGGCATTTACGAAAGTCGCTTCATACCTGGACTGGATTAATGATGAAACCGGCATTGAATTGTGGCATGAATCATCGAACGCGATTGTTTTCAAGAAAATGCTAAAAGATTACGAACGAAAACAACGCAGGTACAAATACGCGAAGGAGGACTTAACGATGGAAGATGAAGAAGACTGGAATGTCAGCACTGAACAGATACCCGACTTTACACCAGCACGCCTAAATCGCCCATCCAGGGTTGGCCGCACGTCGTATACTTTAAGACCGCCAAGGCAAAGAGTGCGTTACGCGCCGCCAAGAAGCTATCAAAAATATATTTTCTTGTGAGACTTAATTCGCGGCAAATAAAAATGTTTTCCACGATTCATACTTGCGTTATGTATATATTTTTGTTTATTTTCTCAATACTCCAAAAATTTTAACAACTCTTTTGTCCTGCTAGTATGTAAGAATAAATAATTTCAAAACAGAAACTGTAAATTTTTTGAAAGTATTTGCTCTCTGATACGAGACTAGAGATCAAAATTACCGGATCCATTCTTTCCTTTGAAAAACAAACCAAACAAGTATTTTAAAAACAGGAACCAGCCTCGATTATTTGAGCGTACAGAAACTCCAGGCGGGGGAAGCAGAAATCCACTCTGTTATCACTCCGAGATCAGATGGAGAAGGAGCTGGCTGCATTTGGTATCTCGAATTGTTTTATAACGTTTATAACCGGCTATAACGCGTAAGCGGTGTCTACGCCATTAAAGAAGAAGAAGGAACTGGCACGAATCCAATTAAATGTTTATTGAACGTAAGTACGCTACTTATACAGCAGACTATGTGTCGCGTTCACCATTGAACCTACGAATAAACTTGACACCTACTTGAAGTAATTTACAATTCACTACCGGCTGCTTCGATAAGACCGACATTAAATTATAGAGCCGATTACCTTGATTTCATATATTTTCTTGTGTTCATAATGAGTCGTCAATGAATTTTACAAAACCTGAGATTATCACTAATCTCCAAAAATATTATCGAATTCCTAAGCAGTATTCGACACTGACTACATATACGTAAATAAGAATCAAAGAATAATAGTAAATAATACTAAGTGTGTAAATATTATTAAGTAATTTATTGTATTTTTATTTAGTAATATGCAACACCGGACTTTTCTTCGATCCAATCCAAGTAGGATGTGATGCGAGTGAACACACCTGGCCAGCCAATCTCACAACCAAAAATAATACCAAATGAAGTGGCACCAATCAAAACAGTGCTCTCACCATCATTGTACACCAAAGGACCGCCGGAGTCGCCGTTGCAAGTTGAGGTACCGCCAGTTGTCTTGATGCAAATGTGTGTGGGTTTAATGGAACCAAAGAACCAACGATTGCATACTGTATTTGACTGTACTGGCACTTCAACCCAACGCAAGATATCGGTGGCTCCTTTAACAGCTGCAAATAATTCAAAAAATTTGAAAAGTTTACGAGTTTTGATTATTGGTTACTATGTTCAGGATAAAAAATTAGGATTGAAAAAATTAACTGTGTACTTGACTTACAATCAGAAATCTTTCCCCATCCAGAGGCGATCACCGCCTTGTCAACATAGCTGTCGTAGCTGGCTGACTTTTTGGGCAAGGCAACTGGTTGAATGTAATCTAAGATTTTCAAAAGATACAAATAAGAATTAGTTTTAGCTAAAAAAAAATAGGTGCGTGGTTACGAACCGTTGAATTCAATTGAAACTGGCAGTTTAATGAGCGAAATATCATTGGAGATCGTAGATCTATCCCAATCTTCATGTACAATAACATTCCTTTTAGAAACGAAAATGATCTGTTGGTTCTTTTCGGTAGGGTCTGTGCGATCCCAAGCACCCAAGTACACATCAACGCCAGTAGTCCTAGGAAATTTGGAATATGGTAACATTGTAATTAGCGGCAGAACAGTTTCGGAGCACAATTACTTACAAAGAGTCTGTGCAATGTGCAGCGGTCAAAACCCAACGATCAGAGATCAAACTGCCACCACACCATGCAGCACCATCGGGGACGTACACTGTCAAACCGACTTGATAGGGGAATTGTTTTTCCGCAGCTACTTGACCGTTGGTAATACGTCCTGTGGGTCCATCGAGGTTCAAGCGTGGATGATATGGGATTTTAAGATCCACATGCAATGGTGGTATATTAGTCCAATCCACTTTATCGGTGGAAGCAATCACGCTGCCAAAAATGCAGACAACTAAGGCAAGTACTAGCTTCATCTTCTACGTTGAATTGAAAGAAACGCTGGCGAAGCCTTTAGCGCGTTTGCTTTTATACTTCAGAACTATGTCAAGAAATACGTGGAGCGGTTGTAAGGCCCTCGATAAGATAAATAATAATTTATGCATCCAACTCTATCGGTTTAATCATTGCAGAGTTCTTATACCGGTTTTAAAGCTGTAAATGCTTTATATAGTTTGAGGTAATGAATATAAATATTGGTGTGTTTCCGTAAATTAAACTATTTAATTGATTATTATTGTTTTTGGTTTTTACTTATTGTAAGTACTTGGCGAACGTGCGTGTGCCGACACACAGGTAAAATGGAGATTACGTTGGCGTCACGTCATTTTTTATAAAAAAAGAATGATAACAAGGAAATCATAAATTTGTATTATTATAGGGAATAACTGTTTACATAAGAGCTATAATAGTAAATATCTTATATATGCATATATGTAAGCTGTATAACTACAGATTTATTTCATGATCTTTTTTAAATAAAGGTCTTATACAGCTGAATGCAAAAACGCAATGAATACCATCGATCAACCACCGTATTCCCCAGAGACCAAGAGACAAAACAAAATTCGCCGAAAAAACTGAAAGCCATCCCAAAAAGTGCTTATGAAAACTGTTTCGGGGACTGTGAAAATTATTGGTGTATAACATCTGGTGGAGATTACTCTGAAGGCGACGAAATAAATATTGATGAGTGCAAAATATTGCAATTTCCTGGTACTTTTTTGTCACAATGCCTATAGTATCCACAAAGAGCAAAGTGCATTTACTAGTATTTGCGCCTAAAAGTGGGCTGCTTTCCTACTCAGTGTAAGATATTTTTGCTACGCGGGCTGCCAACTCGCTTTGAAAGAAAATCCACTTCATATATAAAAATTCTTGTAACAGAAAAATGCGTGGTAATAATAAAATAAAACAAGTAATCGGGTGTAACCGAACATTTTATATTTTCGCAATTCGAAAAGATGGAGTTGAGGTACCGCCAGGTTATGATAGAGAAGAGAGTTTCAAAGTTTTCTATACACTCTGTACATATGGACAGTATAATATACTGTACAATATGGACTAAATTAAGATATTTGTATAGGTATATACATAGCTTCTAAAGCACCTATGGTCACTGAGTATTTGGGACAGGTGGAAATCCAAGTCCCCATGTGTCTATCTATCCAAGAGTGTTTGGAATCAGTCTATGAGTTCACCGTCCTTTGCATGAAGTTTGCCACCATTGCAGCCACATTGCGATACTTTTGATTGTCTCCGCACTTTTTGCTGCGGCAGACTTTTCTGATAAGTTCGAGCGAATCCATCTCCTTGAAAGTCAATCGGTGTCATAAGCACTTATCATGCATATTGCAGAAAGGTATATGATTTTATGTCTAGCACCTTTATCCTTATTGGAGCCGCAAACTGAATAACTGAACTCATTATCTAAGGCTGGAACGCCCACAGCCTTTATTTGCTATCATTCTAGATAAAGAATTGTAGATTTTATTTGCATTACATGTCGTATTTTCCAAGTGCTCATTGAATTTCAGTCTTGAGTTCACTATTATACCAAAATACTTGAACTGTGGCTGAGAAGCACACTCACATTCATCTTTAGATATCGTTTCTTTAATTTTACTGCACTGCACTGCAAGACTTACGTTTTCTGCTCAGAGAGCTCTAGACTTATGGTAGCAAACCATCGGCGCAAACCATTTATGCAGTCATTGAATTAGATCCGGAGGTCATCCAGATCCAGATGTAGCGCTCGTCCGTGCCCTCGTCCGTCTCGAATAGCAGTCTACTATTTTGAAAAAAAAAAAAAACTCATTATAAAATTTATCAGATAATTAGGAGAAAAATTTTATATAAAGCTTTTATTATATTTTCGTTGGTTATTAGCGCGCAATATTTTTTTGCACCGCCTTTCCATCTTTAAACCACTTATTGAATATTTCGCTCAAGTATCAACTACCTTTCTTAGTGCGTCAATAGTGGACCTCTTTATTTTATAGAGCCGTATGGGTCTCTCTGATAATCCGCCGGCTTTTTGGATTACTAACTCTAAGCGGTTTCTTACAATGCTTTCGTACACTTTACCAATAGTGTGGTCGATATGATGAAGGCTCTTCTGGTGGCTTTTATGGTTTAGGGAGTAATACCAGACGCTGTACCTTCAGATCAGATCGAGCAACACCTCTTATAATATACACGCATTAAACCTGTTAACAAACATAAGGGACTTAGAGTCATGGCTTCTTTTAGGGCCAATTAGAACATTTTCCGTACTTATTATTTCAGGCGCTTTGGAATTTGTGATGTTTTTAGCAATAGCCAATAGTTATACTCTGTGATTAATAGAGATAGCTCGTAACTTCGTTTCGTTTAACATGGGATATGAGTTCATGTGTCGGAAATAATTGTCTGACAACATTTCTCTTAAATAAATCCATCTCCCTATGTTTAATTTTTCGCAGAGCTTTTCGAAACAGGATCATTTACCACGGGTTTTCCCTTCAGCAGCTCATTTTGGCAATAAATAACTTCTCTGAGGCGGATTTCGTTTTATTTCCCTTGTTACGCTGTAGACGGCATCTAGCTGAGTGACAGAGTTTCCTCAGCTTGGCGATTTCTTCGTCCCACCAGTATACTGGCTTTCGATTGTTATTATATCTCGTCTTGCGGAGAGTTGCTTCGCGTGCTGCAATTAGTTCTTTTCGCACCACGGCGTCTTCGTCTGGTGTCTTTTCCGCACTCTAGACGTCTCTAAAACGTCAGTATGAAATTCCTTTTTCTGCCAACTTCGTCTTCGAGAATTATTTCAGCAATTATAGCCATATATCCGCTATTTGTGCACATATCTGAAACCTTCCACTTAGTAAGCCCGCTAAGCGCGCCGTTAGCAAACAATAGTTCTATTATAAAACCTTAATTTCAGGTAAAAGGTATTTAAGAAAGAAGAAAACTCTCAAGGAAATCTTCAAATTCGCTAATTGTTGCGCTAGGACAAGTATAACAGCTTACAAAATATATCCTTTCGATGTGACGTGAAAGCTTGTCTTCCATGGACCATACTTCTGCCTTGCCACGAGGTACCGCAACGAGTGGAAAGGGAAGACTTATCAATGGCGCTGATAGCTGCTTGGTTTTTATACACTATATCATATAGCTGCCATACAAACTGAACGATCGGAATCAAGTTTTTGTATGGAAAACATTCACATTAGACGATGTATCGAAACTCACGAAATTTGGTATAGATTATTTTCTAAGGCAACAATGTAATATCCGAAAAAATTGTTCAGAACGGATTACTATAGCATATAGCTTCCATACAAACTGAATACATAGTTACTAACAGAAATGCACCTGTGAAGGTATTTAGCTTTGGTGCAACCGAAGTTAACGTTTTTTCTTGTTTTAATTAAATTATTTTGGGTTTTTCTGATATACCTCACATTTGAGCCCAGTCCTGCAAGGCCACTGTCATGACCAGTTGTCCTGATGCAAATATTTGTGGATTTTACGGAACCAGGAAATAAAGGTTGCATGCTCTGTTCAACATTTTTGGCACTTCAATCCAATGCAATACGTCAGTAGCTGACGTAGCAGCTGTAAATAATTCAAAAATGTAGAAAAGTTTACGAGTTTTGATTATTGATCAGTATGTTCAAGAAAAAAATTTAAGTTTAAAAAAATTAACTGTTTGCATAACTTACAATGGGAAATCTTTCCCATCCAGAGGCGATCACTTTCTGGTCAACGCAGCTGTCGTAGCTGGTTCACCGCTTGGGCAAGGTAATTGGTTGGATGTAATCTAAGCGCCCAAGTACACACCAACGGCAGTAGTTTCGCACAGTTACATACAAATTGTCTGTGCAATGAGCAGCGGTCAGAAGGCAACGATCAGAGATCAAACTGCCATCACACCATGCAGCACCACCGGCGACGTAAAATCTCAAACCGACTTGATAGGGCAATTGTTTCTGAGCAGCTACTTGACCGTTGTTATATAGAAAGTTTAGGATCCACATGCAATGGTGGTACATTGGTCCCATCCACTTTATCGGTGGAAGCGATCACGCTGTCAAAAAAGTAGACAACTAAGGCAAGTACTAGTTTCATCTTCTATGTTGAACTGAAAGAAGCGCCAGCGAAGTCTTTCGCGCTTTTATACTTTGGTAATTCGACGTGTACTTACAGGGGTTGTAAGAAGCCTCGATAAGTTAAATAACAATTTATGCATCCAATAAACCAATATATATTAATTGCAGAAATCTTATACCGGGTTTTTAAGTTCTAAATTATTTATATTGTATGTTGTAAATATTGGTGTGTTTCCGAAAATTATATCAATTTAATTGATTATTAATGTTTGTTTTTATTGGTACTTGACGACCACGTATGTACCGAGATAAGAGTAATATGGAAATTACGTTGGTGTCACGTCATTCTTGTACAAAAAATAATGAAAACAAAGAAATCCCAAATGTATATTACCATTGGGAAAAACTGTTTACATTAGAGCTTTAATATTAAATATTTCGATTGCGATCTCGCTAGTCGTATATATCATAAACGAAGCGATATAGATATATAAATGATAAGTGTCACGCCCACAAATCGCAATTAACGGAATACAATTTTGAAAAGTGGTCGTGGCTCCGCCTTCTAATAAGTTTAATCTAAAGCCACAGCAATCAAATTTACTTCATGCAAATATTACAAGAACCTCTACCGCCAGTGTGAAAATGAACGAAATCGGAAGGAATCGTTCAAAACTACTAAAAGCGCAATAAGTCAACATCTAAAAACGCCATTGACATTAAATTTTGCCGCCGAGATGGTATAAGAGAGCTTTATGGGAGCTGCTACAAAAATTGACAATGGGCCCTCACAATTCCACGATCTTCCAACATAACAATAAAAACATAAGTACCTATTGCAACACATTTCTGAACATCCAGCCCCATATCTTTCATCTCTTTCAAAACCACCTGTTCTAACGTAGCTCCCCCGTGTGACTTCTCTTCGTTGTGCTTTTCTATACTTATATCTGCACTCATGCTCGGTTCTTCATCAGTATCTGAAGAGTCGTTGGGTTCATTTTGAATCGTCTTACTTATGTAAGATGCTCACTAAATTGAAGCTTTCAGATTATTTTTCAAGACTTTATCGCCAAAATATACTATAGATCCAAGTAATCTTCTGAAATTGCCATCGTTAATGTGTGGATAACTTTCGTTTGAAATTGGCCATCGTCTCGGTGACCTCGCAATGAAATATTCTGCTTGCCGAGGGAAATGATAGTTTTGACAACAGGCATCTATATTTCTCTGTTTTCTTTTACATATATGGGAGAAAAGAGCTTTTACAGTCCCCTTTACAGTTGAAAAATCACCTCTTCTTGATGTCAAGAGCATCTCGAGCTATTCACAATGTCGTTGAGGTGGCCAATACCGATCTCGATTTGGTCACAACCTATCTAATGAAGGATAATTGTCGTTTAAACCTTTACTTTTAGCTACAGATACAGAGTATCAGGTGGAAACAGATACTAAAAAAACTAAGTTGATACTCTTCTATCTCAAACTAAACCGATAATGGATAGAAATTGAATTTGTACAGTTATTCTATATAACTAATATTACAGGGACTTATTTATTTTCTAAAAAGACATATATCAAGAACTTGTTATTGGTTCGAAACACCAGTTTTAGCTTCAATCCAGTCGAGATACGAAGTTACTCGGCTAAAAGGAGCTGGTCCACCAATCTCACAGCTGTAGATTATATTAAAGGTGGCCACGCCAATAAGTGTTGAGTCTTGTGCTAAAACCAGAGGACCGCCGGCGTCACCATGACATGTTGACTTGTTTTCAGTAGTGCCGATGCAAATATTTGTTGCTTGTATGGAGCCATAAATCCATGAACTGCACTCACTGTTGCTAATAACCGGTGCATCAATCCAGCGTAGAATATCGGTGAGTTCGTTATCCTCTGAGCATGAAAGAATGAAATTTATTCGGTATAATTATTCACATATAGTATGTGTTATTAAAAAAGCAGGTAAAATGATATCACAGTAGTTTCAGTGCCCTTTTCCCTCCAGCTTTTTTGATTGCTGCGAAATTTCTACTTCTAGTAACGTTGTTCTTTGTAAAGCTTTTCGTTAGAGTCAAGTCATGATTTTCTTGAGACAATTAAAAAAACTTGAATGTTTAAGAGACAATTGTAGGAGAAAAGAGGTATTCTGAAATAAACCGCTAAGCCAGACAAACATTCTTCCTAGATTTTTATTGGATTTTATGTTGTTATTATGTTTGATTTTCATATTAAATAGTGTTTATCAGCTACTGGTTTACGTTTAGTTTGCCTGGCGATTTTTACCATGAAAAAAAGTTAAAAAAGAGTTCGCTGAAATTCTGTTTTATAATTGAATTTCGTCTAGGAAATTGATGGAATTGTTGCAGAATTGTTTTGCGGAGTCTACTTAAGCACGAACACAAGTATTTCAATATTACAAGGCATCCAGTGAAGGTAGTGAGGCCGTTGAAAACTTGCTTCATTCGAGTCGTCCATCCACCTTTGTTAACTCAATGTCAATGATAAACGTAATCGAGTAGAGGTGGCAAAAAAGGATGCTTGACAAGGTAGCTGAAGACCCTACATTCAACAAATGGCTTTAATAATGTCATTGAAATGATCCAACAGTTCAGCGAATAGCGCTCTAAAACAGCCGTAGGGTGAGATCGATAATATATTATGAAACTGTAAAGTATTATGAGACAGTAAGAAACCTAATTTGTAAAATTTATCCATTAACTTGCCCGTTCTCTTTCAGATAAGTTCAGTGATGATGTGCATATTATTTACTTATCAAATACTTAACATAGTTTAATATTTACCATCGGAGATTCTACCCCAACCGGACGCTATGACGGTTTCATTTTCGAAAGTTTCATTAGCTTCGTCACCATTCGGAAGTTCGACTGGTTGAATGAACTCTAAAACATTGCAAATTCACTTTGGTTATGCACAATCACTGGGTGACGCAAATACCTACCGGTGAACTCCAGTGGCACTGGCAGCTTAATCAAGGCAACATCATTCGTTAGCTCGATTTCATCATAATTCTCATGTACAATAATATGCTTATTTGCTACGAAAATTATATGTTGACCAGCTTCATTGGGATCTGTTCTATTTAGTGCACCCACGTAAACATCAACGCCAGCGATTCTTCATAAAAATATTATCACGAGAAAAATTTAACAAACTAACACTCTTACTAATCACATGTAGATCTTACAACTCATCAGCACAATGAGCCGCGGTGATAATCCAACGATCCGATATGATTGATCCGCCACACCAAACTCTCCCTAAAGTTGTATAGAACAACATGCCCGCCTGATATGGAATTTGTGCACGTCCAGCTAATTCTCCGTTAGTGATGCGTTCATTAAAGCTCGTCGTATGTAATTTCGTTTGAAACGCATCGGCAGGATTCGCTTGTGGACGCACAACGGTCGACCTATTCAATTGGCTGGCTGAAGTAGCTGCGGCGGTAATCGCACAAATAACAGTAAATACAGTTAAGAAAGTCATTTTAGGTGGACTGTCGCTAATTTCAGGCACATTTTACATTTATATTATTTTCCCAATAATTATCAACTTTTTTCGAATAAATAGATTATGTACACACCATATACATATGTATGTATGTACTATAGTACGGATAAATTGTTCGGCGATAAAACATTTTTATAATCCCAACTCGAGTTCCATTTATCGGTTGTCCGTTTTATATCACTTTTTTTGCTGACATATAAAATTTAATAACCGTTATAATGTTGAAATGAGATGTATGCATGTGTGTATACATGAAAATATTCACATTAGATCGGGTCGCATGTTGTTAAAAATTTAGTCCGATGTGAAAAAGTATTTAATCCTAACAGCATGGCAACCCTATTCGATTTAGAAAAATAATTATATTCACTATCTCTAGGTATACGTAGGACAGAGGCGAAAGCCGTAAATACGTCTACGTCTTGCATCGTAACTCACACGTATGCATAAACGTAAGGCAATCATTTGCTATAATTTACAATAACCGGCGCCTAAAAGTGTGCTTATTTCTTACTGAGTGTGCGCATAGAACGTATATATAATATACAGAGAACGTCCATCAAATCTATGTTCCAAAGTAAACAGGACTTTAAGAAAAAAAAAGAAAAAATGCTTTTTTCGGCAAAATCAATTTATTTTATTTAAAATAGTCCCCTTCTGCTTCAATACAGCTTTTTGCACGGTCCAAATACCGCCACTATGCCGGTGCAAGCCTTTTGAATGGCTTTTACTCTGAATAACGCTTTCCCTTCATGAGCAAATGCATTTTTCCTAAAAGGAAGAAGTCGCACGGTGCCATATCAGGCAAATACCGGGAGTGCTTTATGGTTAAAATGTGATTTGTGGTCAAATAACCGGTCAAACGCGTCGATCGATGAGAGCAATTTTTTTTCGCCAGTCAATTTGTGCGGAAAAAACCGTGCACACACGATTATTAGATTATTTTGATAAATTATTAGATATTGTTCTTGCGTATATACTTATATCTCTCCATGATGAAATTGCAAACATTATTGAATACAATGAGAAATAATTACTGATCATCACATATTACATAAAAATCATTTCATCCCTGTTGGAAACCCCGATATCTTTTAATATGATATAAAGCCAACAGAAAGCTTGAAATTCTTATCGTCTTTCATATACAAAAAATATGAAGGCAAAGGAATATTTTGACTAGACTTTCTTACCAGTAATTGAGGCTCTCTGAATTTCATAAAGAAATGTCACAGTTTGACCCGTATATGTACGTATAAGATTTTAACTACTTTTACATTGCTTAAAAGGACTTTTCTCAGGCAAGTTGTTAATTTAATTTGAACTGTTTGGAAAATATATATAATGCATTAAACCATTTACTGGGCGGACACTCACTTTTAAAATTTTTTTAGCTAATGGTCAATTCATGTTTTCACTTAACGGTGCTTTGAGGACGTGCAACGGTTCCGCTCATTGGCAATACCAACCTCCATTTTAGCTTTGGATCTCGCGACAAGCAGATCCCTCGTAATTTAACGAGGATATGGAAAAGATGGAGAATTTGGTAAATTTAGTAAAGCGCTTACTTCACAATATTACCTAAATCCCACCCATCAATTCATGTACGAAATTTAAATCCAATCACCATCAATTTATAACACGTTCGTTTTTGTACGAGGACTAACCGCTAATTCACACATGAGAGCAAATACAAAGCAATTTACATTTTTTTTTCATATTATTAATTCATAACCGTTTTATTATATGCGAAGGTGTCTGTACAAAACTTAAGCAGAAATGCCAGTGTTGCTCTTAATCCAGTCCAAGTAGCTGGTCACACGGGTGAAGGCAGCTGGGTA